ACCCATTGCCGCACATGCGCATTATGTCTCCCCCACCGGCGGATGTTGGCTGGGGCGGAGCTGGGTGGACCCAGGTAAGTGACTGATGGGGTTATTAACCCCTTAGTGCCGCAGGAGGGGGCCTTGACAGGGTGGAAGTCTATAGTGCTAGGAAAACTAGTTTGTTTTCCTGGCACTATAGTTTCACTTTAAGAGTCTGCAAAACGACAAACTTATACATCGCAGAGTTTACACAGTGTAAAGTTTCCCAACATATAGAAAGGCAAATATTCTACTGTTAAAACTTACTGAACACAGATGGCTCTAAACTTGGCCATGTGATACCACATTTTTGGATCCCTAACAGTTAATTTTCCCTTACCGCTTGTAAATCAATGGATTTCTGTCATGCATAACACAGAAACCAAGCTGCACGGCGTGATTGTAATAATATATAGTTGTGTCCAGTAACTATGTACTACTCTTGTCATCAACCGTATCATTCCCTTCAGACCCTCTTTCCCCTCTAGTCAGGGATGTTGATTAGATTGATAATACTGTACATATTTGATTGTTTTTCCTCATTTAGGTACTGTTCTTTTTACTAATGTTTTTGTGACTGCATTTGAAGACTGTACTTTACAAGCTATGCAACAGTCATTGTTTTGAATTTTGATACCTCCTGAACGTTTTAACCCCTTTAGACCGGAGGGCGTACAATTACGCCCTATTATAGGCGGCTCTAAACGCCGCCGGGCGTAATTGTACGCCCTCCGGTTTTTGCCTACTTACCCGGTCGCCGGCGGTCCCACCCCGGCGTTCGCGGTGGGGGGGACTCCCAGGGAGCCCCCCGTGGCACGTCCGTCCTCCTCGAAGCCCCCCGGCCATGTGAGAGTGGGGTCCTTGCGAGGACATCACATGGCCGGGGGTAGCTGGCTTCTGCATTGCCAGCAGAGGGGCTGCCTGTAATGACAGGTGGTCCCCCTGCTGGCTGAAAATAAAATTAAAACAAATAAATAGTGTAAAAAAATAATAATATATACTTAGATCATATACATTAAGTCTTAAATCTACATTAAGATTTGGATTTGGTTATGGATTGTGCTTTAGTCAGTGAGTTTGAGCATTTGAGGAAATGTGGAATGAGAATATGTGCCAATCACATATAATATTGAATACATAAGCCATCGGGACAAGAATTTTCAGCTAACTGTCCTAAAGGCTATGGTAAAATCTTCTAAAGAAATTGGTGTCCTAAATGCCACTGACTGCCCAGGTGTCAGGGAGCCATTAACATTCACTTTATTCAAATTGAAAATCATGACCTCTTGTAAAGCAGGAACCATTGTATTAGCATCAGGTTGTGTAATGCTGAAAGAAACTCATAATCTGGGTGAAAAGCCTTTACAATTTCCTTTGTAAAGATCAATGGGAATCATCCAACATCCTTAATTTTTGTAATGGACTAGTAGTCTGTAATGCTTTTGGGAATGGTCTAACAATTTACTGCATTATTTACCTAATTTGTAGTGTTTCTAGTTTTGCTTAGGAAGATTGTGTGCTGGATTAACATAGGTCTGTTTGTATCAGTTTAAAGCTCTCTAAAGACACTGTTCAACCAAAATGCAGTGATGACAATATTATGCTTTTATTAACATTTTCTTTTTCAATAAACTGTAAATATAATGACAAGCAATGCACTGAGATTATTTCTGGATGGTGAAGGCAATGGGATCCTGCATTTGTTTATTTCATTTATTTATAAAATATTTCACCAGGAAGCATACATTGAGATTTCTCTTGTTTTCAAGTGTCCTTTGAGACCAAAAGTACATAAACAAATTGAAAAAAAAACCAACAAATTATCCATTAGGACCTGACAACATTTAAGCACCATTATGCCTTTATCAGGCTTTTAAACCCTTAATGATGGACCCGGTCAATCATGCTGGGGAAGCACTTAACTACCGATGACGGACCCAGTCTGTCATGCGCCAAAATTAACCCCAGATCACGCTGTCCCTGCAGCTGTGATCACTTTGAGGGACTGCAGGGACTCCTGATCCACCTCCCTGTGCTTCCACGCTCTGTGTGAAGTGCAGAGAGACAGATCAGTGCTGATCTGAAAAACAAAACTTAAATTCCACCCCTTTCCCCTGCTTTAATACAATTAACCCCTTCACTGCCATTTGATCACTGACTACAGTGATCAAAATAGAGATCAGGGTATTTTACTATGATCTGATTTATTTTTTTTAACCCTCAGGGGTTAAAGTTAATTTATTTAAATATTTAAAAATTATATATACCATATATACTCAAGTATAAGTCTAGTTTTTCAGCACATTATTTGCGCTGAAAAACCCCCACTCGACTTATACTCGAGTCAGTGTCTGTATTATGGCAACTTACATTGCCATAATACAGACCAGGACCACCGGGCTCATTACAAGCCCGGCGGTCCTGATGGGGGCTGGCAGATAGCTGTTACTTACCTTCCTGCACCTCCTGTCAGTTCCCTTCTCCTCCACTGTAAGTCTCGCGGTGTGGCAACGCTCTGACCCCGCGGCTCTCGCAAGACTTGCAGTGGAGCTGACCGGACCAGAGGAGAAGGGAGCTGACAGGAGCTGCAGGAAAGGTAACAGCTCTCTGCCAGCCCCCCTCCTACACAGCCCATCCACTGGACCACCAGGGAATAAGAGCCCCCCTCCCTGGCCAGCTAACAAGCAGGGAGGGGGGATGAAAATAAAAATTAAATAATAAAAAATAAAAATTACAATAAAAAAAATTAAATATTAAAATTAAAAAAGTAAATAATAAAATAAAAAAATAATACTAAAATAAAAAAATGTAAATATTAAAATTAAAAATAATAAAAATGCCCTCCCCCACCCAGTTCACACACAAACACACACTCATACAAACACACCCTCTGCATTGTATACACACACACACACTGCATTATATACACACTCATACAAACACACACTCTGCATTATACACACACATACAAACAAACACACACTCTGCATTATATAATGCAGACTGTGTGTTTGTATGAGTGTGTGTGTATAATGCAGAGTGTGTGTATAATGCAGTGTGTATGAGTGTGTGTATAATGCAGTGTGTATGAGTGTGTGTGTGTGTGTGTAATGCAGAGTGTGTGTATGAGTGTGTGTGTGTGTATAATGCAGAGTGTGTGTATGAGTGTGTGTGTATAATGCAGAGTGTGTGTTTGTATGAATGTGTGTGTATATAATGCAGTGTGTGTTTGTATGAGTGTGTGTATGAGTGTGTGTGTATATAATTATAAAAATCACAGAATTTCATAGCCCCAAGTTTTACCCTCGACTTATTCACGAGGCATAGCATATTTCACAATTGTTGGTCACAAAACTGCACTCGACTTATACATGAGATCGACTTATACACGAGTATATACGGTAGCTAGCTGGGGTGGGTGGAAGTTAGTGGGGAATTGGGGAATGTGGTGTTAGGCTAGCTAAGGGTTAACATTAAAAAAGTTTTTAATAACCAACCAGCTAAACTACTCTGAAATGAAACATGGACATAGCGTAAAACTTCAAAGTTAGAAAAAAAACTGAATGGCTGCGTCTTAAATATGCCCCTTCAGCATCCACATATACCTGGCAAAGGTACATACGGGGCTATTGTTGTACTCAGATGACATAACTGAGCAACATGTGAAATATTATACAGCAATTGCATACATACGATTTGCAAAATATATTGTGTAAACTCACTTTGTATGTCAAAAAGGCAGAAAAAAATGCACATTACCACAACACTTGGTACAAGCTAGCGGAAAAATTATCCCACGCTAAGGTTCAAAATATGCCTTTTAAAATACCCTGGGATGTCTTTTTTAAGAAATTGTATGCCTTTATGGTGTAGTTGGAATATGTCGCTTGCTGAAGTGCTCCAGAATGGAACACAGAGCCATCAAAACCATCTATGAAAATTCACACTTAAAAACCTGAACTTGTCATGTCTCTTTTACAGCACTGTAAATTCACAAAATAGTGTCTAGGTCATAAATTGGGCATATTGTTTTACTCAGATGTAAGTGAGCATTATTTGGAGGATTTTATGACAGTGGCACGTATCAAGTGTAAGAAATACTCCGCAAAAATGCAACATGTATGTAAAGAATTCAATTTTCTTTCCTCACCACAAACATTGACATAAATTGGTGAAAAAATTATGACAAGTTAATATATACCATATAAGATACCCTGTGGTGTCTGCTTTCACAAATGGAAGCCCTTTGTGGGGTTATTATAATATTTAAACTGCTATAATGCCACAAAAAGAGACATAGGCCCGTCAAATCAATCTATGAAAATTCTAACTATGGAAACTGAAATAGCCTTGTCTCTTTTATGTGCATTGTAGCTTCACAGAATAGTGCCAAAACGCATACAATGGGGGTATCGTTGTACACAGCAGATATAGCTGAACACAATATAGCAGGAATAGCACATACACATTCAAAAAAAACCTTGTTATATGTGCATATGCCAAAATAGAGAAAAAACACAATTTTACTCCAATATTTAGCAGAGATTAGCGATGAAATAGCTATGTAAAAAGTGTCAAACTAACCTTAGGTAAATAGCCTGTGATGTCTACTTTATATAAATATATACTTTTGTGTAGCAATTTTGTTTTTTTGTGATGGTTACTAAGCTTACAAGACAAACGTACCAACTTCTAAAATTGTTTCACATTAATATTTTATTTTAGTCCTTGTATTTTATGACCTTTAACTTTCAAAATAAGCTGAAATCCTATACATATTATGTACTCTATAAATCAAGACACATAAATGAAATTATTTTGAATTACTTTTCCTAAGTTGGACATATTATGCACAAGTTATTATTGCCTAAATTGTGGGGGGGAAAATGTTTTGTTTTTCGTTTTTTTCCCCCATTTTGGGGCTTTTTTTTCCATAATTAATGAGAATTAATATATGTATATGTGACATCAAATTAAAAGCCCTTTTTGTCCTCTAAAAAATGGTATATGTGTTGGTGCAATAAATTGGGGAGATGCAAATTGTGGTTGAACACAAACGGCAAAAAATGCTTGTGTCCTTAAGGGTAAGACAAGCTTCTGAAGCTGTGTTCTTAAGGGGTTAATCAACCAAACCAGCAACAGGTGGATTTAGCAGCATTTTAGTGTTTTGTCTGGCGTAACACTAAAATGCCAAAATGTTGCCAGGTCTACTACCCATGTTTGATTAAATAGATTTATTCAGGGGTTGGTGTGTGAATTTTCTTTAGTTTATGTTTTTTTATCAAAGTTTCTGGCTTCTGCTTATAGTTCTTAATGACATTCCACATACTGTTAGTGCGTGAGTATCAGTGTCAGGGATTTCTGTAATATACGGTATAAGGGCAATTGAGACTTGGCTTCTGGGACAATTAAGGGGTAATGCTAGAATGCTACCATCTCCTGGAACATGTTTGGGAAGTGTGATTGAAATAGGAGAGTGGTATGACAAAATGGCTAGCTAGGCATGTAGTACCAAGACGACATACAGAAGACAATAATGTTCAGCATACCAGGGTCCATCAAATTCTGAATTGAATTGAAAAGAACTGCAAGAACTTCAGGATATCCAGACAGCCACAGATTCAAGGATTTTCCCATGGATAGGAGAGAAAACAATATTAAACAAAAGAATGTGGTCATCATTCTAGATTACAGACTTTTTTCTTATCAGCCTATGGTTCTTGTAACATGTTTTAACTGTTACCTCTTTTGTTAAAGACTTCTTACTCATTCTGCAACATTGTTTTATATGTTAGGACTTCAGAAATTGCAATAATAATAGAAACATAGAATGTGACGGCAGATAAGAACCATTCGGCCCATCTAGTCTGCCCAATTTTCTAAATACTTTCATTACTCCCTAGTCTAATCTTATAGTTAGGATAGCCTTATGCCTATCCCACGCATGCTTAAACTCCTTTACTGTGTTAACCTCTACTACTTCAGCTGGAAGGCTAAAAGGTTTTTTTTTTGTTTTGTTTTTTGCAGTTTTTTAGCTTTTATACAACCCTCCTACTATAATTTTAAAATTATTTGATTATATAATTCACTGTATTTGTGATTATTTTTCCTCAACTTATTTTAAGTATGTTTCTTTTTATATTTACCTTTTAATGTATTACATTAATGCATATATAGTTTATACTTCTGTGTATACATATATTTTATTAATTTTACAGTTGTATCTATGTTTACATTCTGTTCTAATGGCATTCACCTATATTTATCTATTGGAATATGTTAGTGACCTCTGATGACCTGCACCATATATAGGGGATAGGAGAGAAACAAATAAGGAAAGTTAGAATAGGCCTCTTTCTCCTCATCTCATTTCTGGTATGGTTAAGAGGATTAGGTTGCAAAATTCTTTTTTGCATAAACTGGATGATAGGAAATGAAGAAGAGACAGTTAATGAAATTTTAACAGAGACCCCTCCATAGATGGGATTGACCGCAGACTACAGCCATTCCAACGAACTTTGAAAAATGCAGTACAAAGAGATTAACCATTGATGACACATAGCAACATAATTATATTATGGATTTTCTTTCTGTCAGGACTCATGATGTAGTAATTTCCTGCTGGTAACATGGTGACTCCATGTATTACTTGGGGTTCCCCTCTGTCAGCTGGGGCCAGAATTAGTGGACCCATGCTGGCCAATGAGCTGTATACAGTGGCGTCTCTAGGATTCATTTTTAGGGGGGGGGGGCACATGGTGGGCCAGGGACTAAAGTAAGGTGGCACATTTAACCCCGCCCTCACCGCAGTTTGACCCCATCCCTGCCACATGTTAAGCCCCGCCCCGACACAATGTGTTTTTTTTTGTTTTTGTTTTTTTAATAATCCCTGTTGGAGAATTCATTATTTTCCCCCAAGGATTATTAAAAAACAAACACATTTCTCTTGATACAGTCCATACACACACACACACACAGACTGCTGAGTCCTTACACAAAGAGACACACAGACTGCTGACCATACACACACAAACACAGACACATAGACTGCTGAGTCCACACACACACACACAGACTGCTGAGTCCGTACACACACACACAAACACAGACTGCTGAGTCCATACACACACGCAGACTGCTGAGTCCATACACACACACACACACACACAGACTGCTGAGTCAATACACACACACACACACAGACTGCTGAGTCCATACAAACACAGACACAGACTGCTGAGTCCATACACACACACACACAGACTGCTGAGTTCTTATCACACACAGACTGCTGAGTCCATACAAATACACACACAGACTGCTGAGTCCATACAAACAGAGACACAGACTGCTGAGTCAATACACAAACACACAGACTGCTGAGTCCACACACACACAGCTGAGTCCATACACACACACACACACACAGACTGTTGAGTCCACACACCCAGACTGCTGAGTCCATACACACACACAGACTGCTGAGTCAATACACACACACACACAGACTGCTGAGTCCATACAAACACAGACACAGACTGCTGAGTCCATACACACACACAGACTGCTGAGTTCTTATACACACACAGACTGCTGAGTCCATACACACACACACACACAGACTGCTGAGTTCTTATACACACACAGACTGCTGAGTCCATATAAATACACACACAGACTGCTGAGTCCATACAAACACAGACACAGACTGCTGAGTCAATACACATACACACAGACTGCTGAGTCCATACACACACACTGCTGAGTCCATACACACACACACACACAGACTGCTGAGTCCACACACACACAAACACACAGACTGCTGAGTCCATACACACAGACAGACTGCTGAGTCCATACACACACACACACACACACATACAGACTGCTGAATCCATACACACACACAGACTGTTGAGTCAACACACACAGAGACTGCTGAGTCCATACACACACAAACACACAGAGACTGCTGAGTCCATACACACACAAACACACAGAGACTGCTGAGTCCATACACACACAAACACACAGAGACTGCTGAGTCCACACACACACACACACAGACTGCTGAGTCCACACACACACAAACACACACACAGACTGCTGAGTCCATACACACATACACACACAAACACAGACTGCTGAGTCCATACACACAGACTGCTGAGTCCATACACACATACACACAAACACAGACTGCTGAGTCCATACACACAGACTGCTGAGTCCATACACACACAGACTGCTGAGTTCATACACACATACAGACTGCTGAGTCCTTACACACATACAGACTGCTAAGTCCATACACACAGACAGACTGCTGAGTCTATACACACACAGTGCTGAGTCCATACACACAGACAGACTGCCGAGTCCATACACACAGACAGACTGCTGAGTTTATACACACACACTGCTGAGTTTATACGCACAAACTGCTGAGTCCATACACACACACTGCTGAGTTCATACACACATACAGACTGCTGAGTCCATACACACAGACTGCTTAATCCATACACACACAGTGCTGAGTCCATACACACACAGTGCTGAGTTCATACACACATACAGACTGCTGAGTCCATACACACACAGTGCTGAGTCCATACATACACACACACACTGCTGAGTCCATACACACACACAGTGCTGAGTCCATACACACACAGACTGCTGAGTCCATACACACACACAGACTGCTGAGTCCATACACACACACTGCTGAGTCCATACACACAGACAGACTGCTGACTCCATACACACACAGTGCTGAGTCCATACACACACACTGCTGAGTCCATACACACAGATAGACTGCTGAGTCCATACACACACACTGCTGAGTCCATACACACACAGTGCTGAGTCCATACACACACACACACACAAGCTTCCTCACTAGCAGACAGACACAGACACACACACACACCTGAGCATATCAAGCCTACCTGTTGCTGGGGATCAGACAGCCATCTTCTTGCCTTTCCAGCAGCAGCATGGTCTGCTGCTTAACGGCGAGGGCAGGGCTTATCGCTATATTGCATGTAAAAAAACACCATATATAGACTCTAGAGTGTCTACTTTCATAAATGGTGGCATTTATGGGGTATTTAAAAAGTCAAACTGCTATAAAAACCCAAAATCAGAAATAGACCTATAAAATCATCTATCAAAACTCTAGTTGTAAAAAGTGAAATAGTCAGGTCTCCTATAAGCCGCTGTAGCTTCACAGGATAGTTGCAAATACCTACATTTGGGTCATTGTTTTATTCAGAACGTAGTAGTTGTAAAGAATTGTGGGTTTTGTACAGCAGTGGCTAACATTGGGTTAGGAAATACACATTTAAAAACAAAAATAACCTTGTTATAGATGTGCATATAGAAAAAATTTTTACATTTAGCAGAGATTGGCAGATATATGTAAAATTGTCCATGCACCATTAGGTAAATAGCCTTTTATGTTTACTTTATATAAATGTATACTTTTGTGTAGCAATTGTGTTTTCTGTGACGGCTATTGAACTTAAAATAAAAACATAATCTATTTTAAAAGTATTTCACATTGAAATTTTATTTTAGTCCTTGTATTTTGTAACGAGTACCTACCAAAAATAAACTGAAATCCTAGAAATCTGATGTACTCTGTAAATCATAACAAATAAATTACACCATATTGTAAAACTGTGAGAAAAAAAAATGCAATTCTTGAATTTTTTTGAATAAATATGTATATGTCACCTAAAATTACATCATCCTTTGTCCTTAAAAAAATTGTAAAAAATATGTGATGATGCATTAAATGAGAAAGATGGAAATTATGGTTGAACACACGCATAGCAAACATTTCAAAGTTGCTGGTGTCCAAACTGATGCTGTGTACTTAAAGGTCCACTATAGTGCCAGGAAAACATACTCGTTTTCCTGGCACTATAGTGCCCTGAGGGTGCCCCCACCCTCAGGGACCCCCTCCCGCCGGGCTGGATGGCGAGGAAGGGGTTAAATCTTACCCTTTTTTCCAGCGCCGTGCGGGGAGCTCTCCTCCTCCTCTCCGCCACCTCTCCTCCTCTTTGGCTGAATGCGCATGTGCGGCAGGAGCTGCGCGCGCATTCAGCCATTCATAATGCTTTCCTATGGACGCTTGCACCTTCTCACTGTGATTTTCACAGTGAGAAGCACGCAAACGCCTCTAGCGGCTGTCAATGAGACAGCCGCTAGAGGCTTTAGAAGCTGGATTAACCCTATTAGAAACATAGCAGTTTCTCTGAAACTGCTAAGTTTATAAAAAAAAGGGTTAATCCTAGAGGGACCTGGCACCCAAACCACTTCTTTAAGCTGAAGTGGTCTGGGTGCCTAGAGTGGTCCTTTAAGGAGTTAAAGGTGATAGTACCAGTGATTTTTTAAAATTAATTAATTGGTAACCCTTCTCTAAAATGTTAAATAAATTATACAAGAATATATTACTTTTTCTTTCTATTTCTAAAGAGTAGTAAGATAGTTTCACAATTTTGTATAAATATGTATATTTGGGTACTGTCACAGTTAAGTAGATAGAGCCCAATATGCAGTACAGACTTTGGTTGTTCAAAACAAAGTACAGACAAAGATAAGGCAGAGACAAAGTCAGACAGACGAAAGGTCGGTACAGGCAGCACAGGATCAGAAGCGTAAAACAAGCCAGAGGTTGGATATCAGATAAGCAGACGAGAACAATTGATAGGAGTCTTGAGCACAGAATACTGAGCATAGATAGAAGGTCTGAGCAGGATTATATAGGAGAGGGGGTGGAGCACATTTCACAGGTGCCCTACCTTTCTCCTGGGACCTCCTTCGAGAAAATGCCTACTTCCCCTTTAAGAAGCTTCTGTTCTTGCGCATGTGCGCCTAGAACAGGGGTAGGCAACCTTTTAGCAGCACTGTGCCGATATAGGATTGTGATGTCCCGTAGTGTGCCGGTCCTATTTTTTTTAAATTGAGGTATGCATGTTGCCGTATTCTGCTTGTGTTATTTTTACTGTAATTGCTTTGTAGTGTTGTATTTGTGCGTATATGAGCTATTATATTGTATATGTTCATTAGTAGTTTATGGTATTGTGTATGATACATATGAATGTGGGCTGTGTATGAGGGCTGCTTGTGGAATTGTGTGTGGATAGAAATGTCACATTGTGTGTTTGGTAGTGTGTGTATGTGTGGGGCTGTTTGGGGTATTGCATGTGAGAGGCTGCGTGTGTGGTTGTGTGCATGTATGTGGATTGTTAGTGGTATTGTGTTTGTGGGGATTGTGTGTATGTTTGTGTGTGGGCTGTTTGTATTATTTGTATTAGGGGAGGCTTATTCTGCATTTCTGTGTATATCTAGCAGTGTGGGTGGCTTCCCTGGGTTCCAGCGGGGACCAGGCTGGCCAGGTACAGGTCAAGGACAGGAGCTGCAACAGCAGCTGCGGGTTGTTCTACTACAGTGTGGATTCCTATTCACAAGTGCTGGGAGGAAGTGAGCTGAGATCACTTCCTCTATGTGCTGCAAGGCATAAATTGAGGATTGTCCTTCACCACCTCTTCTTATTAGCAGATATCTGAAGTTTTACTGGGTCTCCTGATAGTCAGAGCCTGTTTGGCTCTAGCAGCCTTGAGTGCCGTGCATGGCACTAGTGCCGTAGGTTGCCTACCCCTGGCCTAGAACATCTAGTTGGAGAGCGGATTCAGCTGAAGCGGCTCATAATCCGCTGTCTCAGTCAGTGCAGCATGTTCCTGTGCAACGTGGAGAGGAGTGGAGGAGGTAAGTGTCTGATCAGGTGGGGGTTCCGTGGTCGGGCTGGATTGGGGCTGATAGTTACCCTTTAGTGTTTTCTCTCTCCCCCTCCCTCTTTTGTTGTGAATATACCTTGTAAAATTGGTATACTTTTATTAAAAGGCTATTCTAGCCACCAAAACAAATAAAGTTTAATTAAGAGGTTTTTGTGTATAGAACATGTCCTGCAGTCTCACACATATCAATTCTCTGTAATTTAGGAGTTAAATCAGCCTAGCCTCACCTCCCATGGCTTGGACTTACACTGCTACACACTTCCTAAAGCATTTTTTTGCTTTCCTTATGTGTGTTTAGTTTAAAATGTATTACCCACTTCTTTGTTCATAGCCTACAGGAGGAGCCTTCTGTGTGTGAATAGTTCAATTACAAGAGCAGGAGTTTATGACTTCTAAAGTAAACACACTGTGCTGTAAAATTGAACCTTTTTTTTTCATGGAGGCTCTGTGACTGGTGCCGCATAAACGGGAAAAAAAGTTTATTTAATTTATAAATGGTAGACTGCATAATGAGACTTCAGGGGCATGTTCTATATACACTCAAACTGTTTCAATACTCTAAAGTTGTATTGGTGCTTAGAATAGCCTTTGTATTTCAAACATGGAGGCAGTGTCCAGAACTGCTTGTAACAAATCCTTTGCAACAACATGAAACTACAATATGCACTTACACTATAACATTAAAACAGGTCAAAATGTGTGTTTTATTTGTACAGCTGGAACAATTTTAATAGTGTTGGATACATTGACTAAAGTTTGTGTAAAAATGTAGTTTGACAGACAGAAGGACACATCCACAGTAAAGAGAGGCTTGCCAGCAAGATTGAGATCTGAAAGAAAAACTATACAAATGCTTGAAAATTGGTAATAGGTTAAATAACTGGTAAATGTGCCTCTTTTAAATAACTTATTCTTTGTTCCTCAATACAAATATTTCATTGAAAACTGATGGTTATTTTTTACAGAACAAGTAAGAACCGAGTAAAATGCACACTTGTGTCCACTTGGTGGCAGCATTTCTCTCAAATGAAAATGTTGAAATGTGCAAGTGTATTAATTTAACAGTATGCAATTTGGTAACAATCTAGTAACATAAGTGATATTTGTATACACACTAGTATATTTTATAATAGCTAAAATTAATGTTATTCAATTAAAGATAAAAATACAGGGAAGATTTATCAAGGCAAAACAGATGCTTTCATGGGTGTTAAGTGCTGAATGTTGAGAGACATTTTGGTTTCCATAGTTATTGTTCGTTATTTAGCTCTATTTATTTAGCCCCAGAATAGGACCTATTTCTGGTTTGATAATTCTCCCTCCATATTTTAAGAATGAATAATAGCAACGTTTTTAACTAGGAAAAGAGTGTTTAGTTTTGATTAATTTCAAAATGCATCCTGCGGTCTATTTTAATATTGCCCAACTTTATTGTTTTTGTATTATTGACGTGGGCAAGAGGGAAGGCTGAGTTGTCCTTGCCAGAAATATAACAAACGAGACTGGAATATAACGCATTCTACCCAAAGGCACTCTTTCAGGTTCCCTGGAGTTCTCTTCCTGTATACTTACCCAATGAAACTCCATACTGCTTTGCCTGGTGACACATAATGAGGTTATTTTAATATGAATGCACTGTCAAGCAGAGCAGTGTGGACTCTGGTCAGGCAAGAGTGTGCTCAGGGAAGGCCTTAGGGTTATGCGGCCACTCAGGGCACCATGGCAAAAGGGGCTCCTAGTGGCAGACACAGCTCACAACACTAGTGGCCACCTCAGGGCTCCTAGGCAGGAAGACAAAGTATATGAGGATACTGTCACCCCCCAGGAAAAGTGCAGTTCATTTTTATTTAATATATTGCCATATAGGTAATATATTCTATACAAAATATTCCATGATGGTTCAGTGGTCGATTATGATATCCAAAGCTCTATCCCTTTGCTGTACCCCTGTTGATACCTATACCCTATGCTGATATACGCAATAGTGAGCTCTACTTCTCCACTCCAGTGCTTAGTTAGTGAGTCAGAGTGCAGTCGAGGAGATTCCCAGCCTGCGCTCGGTGTCATCACTAATCACCGCAGCTGCAAGGAAGAGCTCACTATCGAAGGGATCAGAAAGCCTCAACTAACAGGAAGAACCTTAGAGGCAACACGTGCCATACACTGCTGCCAGGTGCTAATAAATGTGCCAGTGAATTTAGCTTGTTTGTAGTGACCTTGTGTCTTTGTCAGGGTGACCAGATTTTGAAAATAAAAAAACTGGGATACCCATTAGCGGTTCAAAAATTGCTGCAAAAACAAAACAGAGAAACACATACACACTAGAAGTCTTTAACCTATTCCTGGCCAGAAGTGGCTGTTACAGCTCATCCGCTTCCTGGTAGTCAAATGAGTGTCTTTTCATTTTCCTTTTTGTCGGAGCATGATTAGAGCACACACATACCCTAGACCAGAGCCATCATAACAGCATAATAGGCCCTCGGGCAAAGCAATGCACTGGGATCCTGCGTACGCAACCACTCACAGAAATAAAAAATATAAATTATAAATAGAATTAAGCTTATATTTATTGGTACCTCACACAAATACAATACATACACACAGACAGACTGCTGAATACATACATACAGACA